CTCAGTGACCCTGAGTTTTTACTGTTCCTTAATCAGTATCAATGTTTCCACAATGATGACACTAGTGTCATTCCCAGATGTGCTCGACCGTATGTATTACACCCCATTTACCCATGGTGTCGACACAATACTCCCTCATATCGATCCTGACGCCTTTCTACAAAACTCACTGGGTTACACCAACCCCAACTGTAACTATTACTTTCCTGACTCTCCCTAGCTTAGTTCTAGTCCCCTACTACTTCGTTCCTTCTCCTTGATTCGCCATAACATCAGCAGTATTCCCCTTCACCTAGAAACCTTCTTTGATCAGTGTTTATCTTCTGTTGCCCACAAATTTGATGTACTTGGATTCTGTGAGACCAAACTCACTAACGATATTGACAATTTGTATAGCATTCCTAATTATAATAGACACTGCGTCAACACGTCACGACACAGTGGTGGTGTCGGTCTATATGTTGATATCAAGTATAACACTTCTGATTGAATTACGTAACGACACACGAAATATCCTAGTTGGAGTAATCTACAGAAGACCCCACACTAATGTAAATAATTTTCTTGATAAATTTTCGGGGCTTATCACTATCATAAGTTGAGAAAGGAAACGTTGCTTCATTACAGGAGATTTCAATCTTGATCTATTATTATCAGTATTAGACCTTCTTGCTACCTGTCATTCTAAACTCTTCTTCAACACTATAACCAAACCCACTAGAGTAACTGCCACCTCTGCCACTGTGATAGATCATATCTGGACTAACAACACTCCTAACAATCTTACAAATGGAATTATTTATAACAATATCTCAGATCACTTTCCAATTTTTGCCATGTATAGAACAACCACAAGACCTGAAGTGTCTAGGAGTCTCAATACAATAAAGACACTACTGTACCGACAACATGCTCCTTTTTGAAAACAACCTAATGAGTGCTAACTGGGATCTTGTCTATGCCTCCGACAACCCAAACGTGAACAGCTGCAATTTCTCTTGCATCTTCAATGTTTGCTTTGATATATGATTCCCGCTCAATACTTAGTCAGTGAAAACTGTATCCATTTCTAAACCGTATATCACAAGCGAAATTAAGATCATGATAAAAGAAAAACACAAACTCCAAAGGAAATTTGCAAAAAGATCCATGACTTTCGGTGATGCTTACCGAAGTATCATAAATAGAGTAACTCAAGCAGTTAGAAATGCCAGACGTAGCTATTATACAAATAAGCTTCAATCAGCATCAGGCGACGGTAAGAAAACCTGGAATGTCATAAATTCTATTCAGAACAGGAACACTCAGCCTTCGGCCCCTCACTCAGCTTTTATGATAAACGATTCAGTTATAACGGAATCCTCCCTCATTGCCAACCACTTCAATGAATATTTTATTAATGTTGGCAAAAATCTTGCAGAGAGCATCCCTGATCACCATAAGGAATTTAGATCCTACCTGCAAAACAGACGGCAAAATGAGCTGGTTTTATCTCCTGTCACAGCAGATGAATTAATGGTCATCATTAAATTGTCCAAAGATGCAGCAGCAGGCGAAGATAATATACCAATGAGCATCATTAAGAAAGTAGCCCACTTAATGCTACCCTTTCTCCTACACATCTGTAACTCCTCCTTCACTAGTGGTGTCTTTCCGGATAAACTGAAAGTTGCTAAAGTTCACCCAGCAAATAAAAAATCTGGAGTCAAAGGTCTCTTCAAGAATTACCGCCCCATATCAGTCCTCCCAGCCTTGAGTACGATTCTGGAAAAGCTAGCATGTAGTAGACTAAATTCCTTCTGCAAAGCCAATAACATTTTTATAGACTCCCAGTTTGGATTTAGAGCTAAAAGGTCGCTGAGAGTGCTCTGCTATTCTTTCCTAATGACATCTTAAATTCCTTTGATGACAGTCAATTCACAGTCGGTATATTCTTGGACCTCTCTAAAGCCTTCGATACTGTCGACCATACCATCCTCCTTTCAAAGCTTGAACATTACGGCGTTAGGGGCCTGTCCCACAATTGGTTTCCTCATATCTGTCCAACAGGATGCAATATGTCTGTTATAATAATCACCAATCTGACACCTCGCTAATCTTGTATGGCGTTCCCCAAGGTTCCATTCTCGGTCCAGTACTGTTTTTGTTGTACATAAACGACATTGTCCACGCCAGCACACTCATAAATTACGCCTTATTTGCAGACGATAGTAATCTCTATGGCAGCAACTCAGACCTCCATTCCTTGATGAGAATATGAACACGGAATTGACTAAAGTCAGGATCTGGGTAATACGTAATAAACTGATTTAAACCTTGAGAAAACCCACTACGCGATCTTTCACAGAAGGAAAAACTTGCCCCCAGACTTGGACCTTGGTAATACAGTCCTCAAAAGCGAACAAAATGCTAAATTCCTCAGAGTTGTTGTGAAGAGAAACTTAACTGGAGAAACCACATACAAGCCATTCACAGTAGTCAATATACAGTGCGGTATCATGTATCACACTAGACAGTCACTCACTCTCACAGCAATGAAAGAAATCTATCATAATCTTGTTTACCAACACCTGCTACACTGTCACACACTATGGGGGGCCTCAGGCTCTTCAAAAACACAATCTCTGGTTACTGCACAAAAGAGAGTTGTACGGACAGTGACCTACTTGAAAAAAACAGATCACATAAACGAAAATTTGCTAAAATGAAAATGCTAACATTCGAAGATATTAACACCTACTGCTGTGCCTTCTTTTTTATAAATCTATCAATCACTTGCTTGACAATAATTATGTCCTGTTCCTGAATGATCAGAGATACAACTTAAGGCACCCAGAGCTAATAAGACCACCCCCAATGCCCTCCTCTCAGTCCCAGACCTCCATAAACTATCATGGTGTGAGGGTGTGGAACAACTTGCCCCCACCCATCCCAGCAAAGACTACGCTCCCTTCCTTTAAAGTTAATAAACTTAGAGGATTACCTTAACCGATAGGCAACAACTGCAAATCCGTTGCGTGTATAAAAAGTGAACTAACGTGTGGTTTGAGCACTGTGGCGTGTGTAGGTGCCCGCGAGCAGGCCTACTACCCTTGTTGGCCAGATACACCGATACAGAGTGGATAAAATTAACATGGCTGAGCCAGTTGAGAGCCTGAGCTCTCTTTTAGGCACCTGTTATATACTATATACATATATCTCAAGGAAGTATTATGTAACATTTGGTATCATCTGAAGTAGTACAATAGCATGGTGGTAATAAGAACATCTCATAATGTTACCTAGGTTATCACTTTAATATTTATTTATTTTATTTATTTATTATTATTTTTTTAGTTTTTTTTTATATATACATAAAATACAGTGGAATTGAAAAACATAAGTATAATGGGGGAGCAGTACAACATGGGTTAAACAGTAATAAGGTTGAACAAGAGGACAGAGCTGTCAGGATTATGTCTAGATGGCAATTATGTTTATTGCAATGGTAATTTCTTATCTATTGACATGATAATTTCCGATAAAACGGTTTTGATGGTACAATAAAAGCAGGTACTATAAATAAAGTAGGTTTTACTAGAAATATTATTACTTAGACAGTAGATATTTTTTAAGATATTATTTAAAGCAGTGATTCTTAACCTTTTTTGAGTCACGGACCCCTTTGAGAATCTGGTGAAAGCTATGGACGCCCTCCCTAGAAAAATGCACATAAGCACAACTTTGCATGAAATGAATATACTTTATTTTATTGAAAATTCATTGCCTCATACAGTGTATGACATACACAAATTATGAATAAAGTAAACAATCTTAACAAAGAATTATGTTTCACACATTTTTATGCAAAAATTAATGGCCACTCCATACAAAGATGAAATACAATCATCTTGTGCAAATTAAACAAAACAAAACTTTAATTCTGCTCAAAAGTTCATTTCAATGAGAAGGTTGTTGTTGTTTGGCTTGAATAAGAAGATGAAACTGTGGAGTGGTCTTTGACAAGGTAACACTCATGTCATCTTTGACATCCAATCGATTTCGACTTTTCGTTTTGATAGAAACAAGTGCTGAAAACCCTGACTCACAAAGGTATGTAGTAGCAAACGGAATCAGAGCACCCATAGCTCGCTTTACCAGACAAGGGTAGGCTTGTGTCAACGCACACCAAAATTCTCCAAGGCTCTTCGAGTTGAATTCATTATGAAACATTTCCTTTTCTTCAGGTCAATGAGGACATCTTTGGCAAGGTCTTCATCACTGATACAGTCTATGTCGGCAAGGGAAGGATTACGAATCCATGTTTCAACTTTAAGGTCACCTGAGCAGAAGTAACCTTTGAAAGAGTTCTGCAGAGTATCCAGATGTCTTCAGAATTCTACCTGTAGAGAAATTGACAGGGCCTTGTCACTCTCGATTCCATCCTGCAGAAGCACTTCCTCTAACATTGGAAAGTTTGCATTGTTGTCTGCCTCCAACCTCCTCTTGCACAGTGGCAGCTTGGCCAGAAAAGCTTGCAGTCTTTCAGCAGCATCCATAATGGTGACTCCAGGGCCTTGAATCGCAAGATTCACCTCATTCATGTGGCCAAAAATATCCGCCAAGTAGGCCAGGCCATGAATGAACTCCTCACTGTCAAACTGTTCTGAGAGTGGGCTTTCTTTTTCTCTCAAAAAAAGTGAAACTTCTCCTCGAAGTTCAATCAAGCGCTTCAAGATTTGTCCTCTGAAAAGCCAGCGAACTTCTGTGTGGTAGAGAAGAACTTGATATTCTGCTCCCATTTATTGACAAAACCTCTTGAAAACGCGATGGTTCACAGCCCTGGCTCTGATGAAGTTGACGACTTTCACGCCAGTAGACAAGACTTCTTTCAGAATTGCTGGCAGAGTCTTTGACGCCAATGCATGCCGATGTAGAAAACAATGGGTCACGATGACCTGAGAAGCCTATTTCTTCACCAAAGCAGCAAAACCAGATGTGTTGCCAAGCATCGCAGGTGCTCAGTCTGTGCACAGCGTACCAAGATTTTTCTTCCAGTCGAAGTTTTGCTTGGCAAAGAAACTATTCACCATTTCCAAGATGTCGATGGCCTTTGTAGTTTCCAAAAGGGGCTCACAAAATAGGAATTCTTCTTTGATGGCATCAGCATGCATATAACGGACGAAAACCAGGAGCTGGCTGCACTGAGAGACGTCAGTAGTTTCATCTAGTTGCATGCTGAACGGAAATGGCGTAGCTGCCAATTCTTCCATTACTTGCTTCAGAATATTAGAAGAAATGTCAACAATTCTAGAGTGGTTGACGCCATTTGACAAACGCACTGCTGAATTTTCTTCCTCTGTTCCAAGCCACAAACCAGCTCCACCATTTCCAGGGCACATGGCTTTACCAAGGTCTCTCCAATCGTATGTGGCTTCTCTTGCTTGGCAATGCGATAAGCAACCTTGTAGGATGCTTCAGGACAAGGCTTTTGTGTTGGGGTAAATTCAAGTTTTGGTAAAGTTCCAGCTTTCTCAAATCGAGCCTTCTTTGCACGAAATAGATCAACACTGTCCGATGCATTTTCAGGATGGACACACGTGAGGTGCTCCTTTAGCTTTGTTGGCTTCATGCTTCCATTGGCAAGAACCTTGCCGCACATGAAACACTGCGGCTTTTGTGTCCCATCACGTTCAGCGATGAAAGTAAAACCAAAGGATAAGTAAGCTTCGTTGTACTTCCTTTTCTTTGACATTTCCAAATTGAGCTAGGCCTGCAAAATAAAAAAAAATGTTATGTAATTTATATGGAAAGCAGTATCTAATGAACACAAATTAATAAGCATGACAGATGGACCGACAGAAAGACAGATCGGCAGATAGACAGGCAGACACACAGACCGACTGACGGACAAACCTTCACAGACAGACAGATAACCCTATTTTCAGTAGCATTATTACGGATTTCTCAAGGATCCCCTCAGAAAATATATGAATGATACTGACTGATGACTTCGTGTTTCCCTACCCTACTGACGCACCCAGACCCTAACTTTATCCATTCTCTCTCTATTTATGCATCCTTACCTTAACTACGTGCACCCAGTCCCTAACTTTGACCAATAAATAATAACAGACTAGTTGTAAATAATGGATAAAGCAAATAAATACAGCGCACCAAGTGGGTAAGTGGGACTTAAAACAAGCTGGTCCTGAGAAGTAAATTTGGTTACTCAGGACAAGGGGTAAAACAGGACCAGGGAAGGGTAGGTTTAAATGTATACTATACAAACAGTAGGAGCGTTAGAAATAAAATAGACTTGCTGAGAGCGGTTGTATGTACCGAGAATGTAGACGTCATAGCAATCACCGAAACTTGGATGAATCTGGAGAGCAAAATTTTTTTATAAGAGTACCACATAGAAGGGTACAACCTTTTTCAAAAGGACAGGGAAGGTAGGAAGGGGGGAGGGGTCGCACTCTTCGTCAAGGATACATTAAAATATTGTATTAATAATTCAATAAAGGGTGAAATAGGAACCGAGTCTGTATGGGTAGAAATCACGGAAGGAAGAGAAAAACTAATTATGGGAGTGATTTACAGGCCCCCAAGTCTTGGCAAAGAAGCAGCTCAGCTCATATGGCAGGAAATGAGTAGGGCAGCAAAATATAACAACCTATGCATTATGGGGGATTTCAACTTCGGAAATATTGACTGGGACAACATTGTAGGTGACTATGAATCTGAAGACATCCTAGACGCAGTACAGGAAAAATTTTTGAAACAACTAATTACAGAACCTACTAGAGGTGACAATATATTAAACCTAGTATTAACAAATAAAGAAAATATTATCAGAGATATCACAGTAGGGGAAGAACTAGGTAACAGTGATCACAGAGAATTCAGGTTCCCCCTAAATTGGGAAACGAAAAACAATGACAATATTGTCAGATTCCCAAACTTTCGGTTGGCCGATTATCAGGGGTTAAGAAGGTACCGAGGTGAGGTCACCTGGGAACAGTCACGTCAGTCCCCAGTAAGAACATAAGAACATAAGAAAATAAGGAGTCTGCAATAGGCCGGTTGGCTTGTGCATGGCAGCTCCTGTCGAGAGTTACTACCTGAATCTATCTAGCCTCCTTTTGAAACTTTCCAGAGTTCCCGCACTTACTACAAAGTTGCTAAGCTTGTTCCACTCGTCCACCACGCTATTTGTGAAACAGTTTCTTCCTATCTCCCTCTTAAACCTAAACTTAACCAACTTGAATCCGTTGCTCCGAGTCCTATCCTGCTAGGATATTATAAGAACTTTATCTATATCCCCTTTATTGATTCCTTTCACCCACTTAAATACTTCTATCATATCTCCCCGCACTCTTCGTCTTTCTAGGGAATGCAAGTTAAGTTTCTTTAACCTATCCTGATATGGAAGGTTTCTAAGTCCCGGAATCATTTTTGTCATTCTTCGCTGCACTGACTCTAGTGAATTTATATCCATTCTATAATAGGGGCACCAGAACTGAACCGCATAATCGAGGTGCGGCCTGACTAGCGCAAGATATAGTTGCAATAAAACCTCTGCACTCTTGTTACTTACACTTCTAGATATAAAATCCAATACTCTGTTTGCCTTATTTCGAACATTAACGCACTGTTTTCTAGGCCGTAGGTCCGGGCTTACAAGTACCCCTAGGTCTCTTTCACAAGTCGACTTCTCTAGGTTGATGTTGTTAAGGCTGTATACATTATAAGTATTTGTTCTTCCAATATTAAGTACGCTGCACTTGCTGTTGTTGAATTTCATTTGCCATTTTTCAGACCACCCCTGCAGTTTATTTAGATCCTCCTGTAATGCATTTGCATCCTGCCCTAAATTAATCTGCCGCCCTATTTTGGTGTCATCTGCAAACTTGCATATGTCACTGCTGATCCCAGTATCTAGATCGTTTATGTAGATTATGAACAAGAGTGGGCCTAGTACTGACCCCTGGGGAACCCCACTGGTTACACGGCCCCACTCAGACTTAACACCATCTACGTTGACCCTCTGCGTTCTATCGGTGAGCCATGATTTTATCCAATTTAAGACTTTCCCCTCCATACCATGAGCCTTAATTTTTCTCAGAAGCCTCTGATGCGGTACTCTGTCAAATGCTTTGCTAAAGTCTAAGTAAATAACATCGTAATTTTCGTATTATCTACTACCTCGAAGACTTTCCTAAAAAACGTCATCAGACTTGTTAGACAAGATTTTCCCTTTGTAAACCCATGTTGCGAGTCGTAGATTAATTTGCTTTTCTCTAGATGCGATCGGCTTGATTGTGTGTGTTGTTTTCTTGTTTGGAGGAAATGTCTTGGTATTCTTGTTAGCTTGAAGTTGATTTTCTTCTTTCTCTCCTCCTCCTCTTGCTCTCTTGAAGTGTCCATTCATTCGTGTTTGGGTCTTGTTCTTCGTCTTCCTCGTGTCTTAGGTCTTCATAGGTGTGGAAGAAGTCGGAGACGGTGAGGTTGACCACCTGGGCTTCAGCTCCTCGGGGTGTTCTTGATTCTTTGTGACGTGTGTCTTTTCTTGGGTATTATTTTCTTGATTCTTCTTTTCTTCTGTTTTTTTCTTGTCTTGGGAGCGTACAGCAAGGAGGGCCTCTTTGTAGCTCAGTTTCTTGTCGAGTCGAGCCTTGGCTATCGTGCATTCCTCCTTCCATTTGGGGCAGGTCCGATCGGCGGAGGAATGTGGGCCGCCACAGGCAGCGCATTTTTTCACTGTGTTGGGGCAGACAGTGTATCGGTGTCCGGGGCTGCTGCACAGGGAGCAGGTGTCCTCCTGCGCCTCACACTTGTTGGCTGTGTCACCGTAGTGCTGGCATTTGTAGCAGCGTTTCGGTCTGCAGTAGGGCTTGACTGGCACAGTTACCCACGCCAGTTGAGCCTCCTTGGGTAAGGTTGCATGGTGTCCGATGAGGGCAGTGGTGTCGGACAGCTTCTTGACATCTTGGAGTTGTCCCTTGAGGAGCTCACTGAGCTCTGCTTGGTCCACTTGGGCAACTTCGGCGTGGGAGATTACTCCCAGCTTCACGTTGTCCCGCTTGTAGGCAATCATTTTTAATGGAATGCCGTTGACGTCTGGGATCTCCGCGAGCTGTACGGGCATACCCTTCTCGGCGAAGGTGATCTTGATGTCACCATGGAGCTTCAGATGTTCCACCTTGGTGACCCCCATGATCCCATTAGTTTCAAAGAACTTCTTGAGAACTAGGAGGTTTAATTTCTTGGGGCAAGTCGGCGTATCCGGACGTATCCGCGCCACGTTGTCAAACTCGTAACCGTTCATGGTGAGAGAGGGTTAAAGAGTCCTCCCACCAGAGATGCTTAGCGGTCAGCGCTATAAGCAGTGGCAGGGTACGTTTTCTTTAATTTCTTTCAATGGGAAACCATTCTAGAAGTCAAAACCTGACGACGATGACGATTGTATGTTACCTGACCGTGTACAGTAGCATCCCATGCCACCCTACAGATTTACTGGTTTTCTTCAGTAACCAAAAATACATACATAACATCTGGTATATATTGACAAAAACAGAACAACTTAGTATAAAAATATAGTGAATATAAATGTAAAATTTTTATCTGACCTTCACGGACCCCCTGAAGCCCATCCATGGACCCCAGGTTAAGAACCCCTGCTCTAAGTGATAGTGTTAGGAAGAACACCTAATATTCAGTAACACCCTGTGAGAATCCTGCTCCTCAAATCCCAATGTGTACCACCGTAAACTTAAAAAGATCACAGGTGGTCCACGCACACAGCCCTGCCCACACACACCCTGAGGGAAAACTGTGTGACAGGTTGTGTTGGTGACAGGTGGTGACAAGTGGTGTTAGTGAAAGGTGGTGACAAGTGATGCTGGTTATTGGTGGTGTTGGTAACAGGTGGAGACAAGTGGTAGGTGGTGTTGGTAGCAGTTGGTGTTGGTGACAGGTTGTGTCGGTGACAGTTGGTGTCATATGGTGTTGGCGACAGGTGGTGTGAGGTTATAGTTGTGTTGGTGACAGGTGGTGTCAAATGGTGTTGGTGAGAGGTGGTGATGGTGGGAAGTGGTGTTGGTGACAGGTAGTGATGGTGACAGGTGGTGGCAGGCGGTATTGGTCATAGGCACTGGTAGTGAGAGGTGGTGTTGGTGACAGGTAGTGTTGGTGACAGGTAGTGTTGGTGACAGGAAGTGTTGGTGACAGGTTGTGAGTGGAGTTGATGGTGACAGGTTGTGAGTAGAGTTGTTGGTGACGGGTTGTGAGTGGAGTTGATGGTGACAGGTAGTGTTGGTGACAGGTGGTGTTGCTGACAGGTATTGTTGGTGACAGGTAGTGTTGGTGACAGGTAGTGTTGGTGACAGGTAGTGTTGTTGACAGGTTGTGTAGGATTAGTAAATTTGCAGATGATACCAAAATGGGGAGAGTGATAAATTCAGACAGTGACTTTGAACACCTTCAAAGAGATCTAGATACCTTACATGAGTGGTCAGTAGACTGGCAAATGAATTTTAATACTGATAAATGCAAGGTACTACAGATAGGGAAGACGAATACAAACGTTAAGTATAAACTAGGTAACACGGAAATAGAAAACTCAGTTTGTGAAAAGATCTAGGTGTATTTGTTAGCAACGACTTGAAACCTAGAAAACAATGTATTAGCGTTCGCAACAAGGCAAACAGGATTCTTGGGTTCATATCTAGGTCTGTGAGTAACAGAACTGCT